TGACAGCAGCTACTACGAGTTTACATACGAAGTGGTTGTGTTTTTATATCCAGAATGGTATGATCGCGGGATATGCTGTCGAACTGGGAAACTTTATCACACACAAAACACCTTACCCTACATCATAAACCAGGTTTGTAATGGAAATTGTGAGCAGTTTTAGACCATGGCGGTATTTAATTCCTCGATGGTGGCGCAAGTGAACGTGTTTCTTAGGTGTGATATGGCTGATTATTAATGGTTCTGTGTGTGGTCGATTGAAGAAGGCACACATTCAAGCTGAATTTAATACCTTAATAAACATCCGTTTTTTTGATCTGAACTGGAGCTTCGTCATCGGGACACGAGGGTGTCATCCGACCGATGCACCGTCACAAGGAAACTGGGATATCACCGGGCCACTGATATAAAGTATCATCGGGCCCTAAAGTGTCACCGGGCCACAATGCAGGAGTGTCTCGGACCGCTCAGAAGAGATGTCTCTGGAGTGTTTCACCGTTTGTCAAAGGGTAATTCATTCAAGTTTCGAAGCGCAATTTTGATATGTTTTTAATATATGTTTTTTTTGAGTAAATACGTACTTTTTCTTGTATGAGAAAATACATATGTTGAATTTCACAAGTCAAATACTATCACGTGACACATCTCATGATAGAAACGTTATTGTTCACGTATCACTTTGATGAAGAAATTGAGTGATATGACTTCCCTCCCGGCTAAAATGACTTTGAAATGATAAACAAAAGAACAATTTGTTTATAATTCGAAATTATAATTACTTCTTCATAAACAAAAAAATAATCGTTGAATATGCCCAGAATTAATGGACCGCATTGCGTAAATATTCCATCTACTTATACTATTACACGTTTGAATAAACTAATGATTTGAATCAAATTTACAATTTGTGGGATTGCGATATAAACATGCATCCGACCTGTCTTGGACCAATAACGTATAAATGCATTGAAGAATAGTATAATACAGTTGCCATGAGTATTACGCGTTTCATTAGTTGATTAACTTTGTGGCCAGGTTGGGGCAAAGGCGAGTCTTATATTTTATTCCCGTAAAGCGTGCTAAGTTATGCTATTAACTATTTGACTCAATGGTCCAGACAACTTGGACATCAACTTGAATAAAGCATTAGGAAGTACTGTATTTGAGAGCGAAACGCCTGTGCCGAACAATTTTCCATAATTATACGAATAATCAAATAATTGCCGTTAATTTGAAAATGTGATTACATTGATCAATCTAAATTTATGAGACTATCAGCAATTAATCGCTTATTGAATTTAATTATACGCGGACATTGTAAAACAAGCCCAATTAACGTTAATTAGCATTAATGTAAACTACACTCTATTACCGGTATTATTACGTATTACCATGTTAATTATGCAAATGTGCATCCATTAATTATTTACAATATACTAGTACTTATTAATTTTCTCACAAAAATTAGCAAACGCGCAAGATTAAATAAAATTAATTAATTAAATTAAAATCTAAAAGCACAGTGACGACTATTAACTTTCAGTTTTAATCAGGGGACTTATACAATTTGTAAAACGGGTATAAGCTCATAGCAACATGAATCAACATTTTCCTGTGTGTTACAGTCTGATTTTGAGAAATATTTATTTGAAATTGCTAGTTTAGAACAATTCTATATAACACAACGTTAAAAAAACTGCACGTTTCGCACTTTTTACAACCCGGGTTTTTGAAATAATTTAGGTATTTCAAAACAAAAGGTACCCCATCAGTTACGGCGACTAGTTGCATAAAAATGTATTTGCGTTTTTCAAGCGGCCTTGCCTGACCCATCTTGATGACGATATTACTAGTATACCTGAATAACGAAACAACTCAGATCCACTGCGTGCGGTGTGGCTTGGCGCGTTGCCTCCTGTAAACCGGTCTTTATGAACACCAGTCAATGCGACAATATAGTATAAGGGGTAAATCTTCTA